TCTCTCCACTTTCTATAGTCTTCCTCAATCTCTTTCTTCAGAAGTGTATAGTTTTCCTTGTAGAGGTCTTTCACATCTTTTGTTAGGTTTACACCTAGGTATTTGATTTTTTTGAGGCTATTGTAAATGGAATTGTTTTCATACATTCTTTTTCTGTTTGCTCATTGTTAGTGTATAGAAATGCTAATGACTTTTCTATGTTGATTTTATATCCTGCTACCTTGCTATAGCTATTGATGATGTCTAGAAGCTTCTGAGTAGAGTTTTTTGGGTCTTTAAGGTATAGGATCATGTCATCTGCAAATAGGGATATTTTGACAGTTTCTTTACCTATTTGTATTCCTTTTATTCCTTCTTCTTGCCTAATTGCTCTGGCTAGGAATTCCAGTACTATGTGAATAGGAGTGGAGATAAGTGGGCATCCTTGTCTGGTTCCTGATTTTAGAGGGAATGGTTTAGTTTTTCTCCGTTAAGTATAATGCTGGCTGTAGGTTTGTCATATATTTTATAATGTTGAGGAACTTTCCTTCTATTCCTAGTTTTCTTAGAGCTTTTATCATGAAATATGTTGGATCTTATCAAAGGCTTTTTCTGCATCTATTGAGATGATCAAGTGGTTTTTGTCTTTGCTTCTGTTAATGTGGTTTATTACGTTTATTGATTTTCGTCATGTTGAACACCCTGCATCCCTGGGATGAAAGCCTACTGGTCGTGGTGAATAATCTTTTTGATGTGTTGCTGAATTCGATTTGCCATTATTTTGTTGAGGATTTTTGCATCAATGTTCATTAAGGAGATTGCCTATAGTTCTCCTTTTTGGAGGTGTCTTTGCCTGGTTTTGGGATAAGTGTAATACTGGCTTCAAAAATGTGTTTGGCAGTTTTCCTTCCCTTTCTATTTGTGGAACAGTTTAAGGAGGTGGTTGGTATCAGTTCTTCTTTAAAGGTCTGATAGAATTCAGCAGAGAATCCATCAGGTCCTGGACTTTTCTTTTTGGGAGACTCTTGATTGCTGCTTCAATTTCATTTTGTGTTATAGGTCTATTCAGGTGATTAATTTCCTCTTGGTTCAGTTTTGGATGATCATATGTATCTAGAAATCTGTCCATTTCTTTTAGATTTTCAATTTATTTGAATATAGGTTCTCAAAGTAGTCTCTGATGATTTCCTGGACTTCCATGGTGTTTGTTTTATCTCCCCTTTTGCATTCCTAATTCTACTAATTTGGGTTTTTCTCTCCTCATTTTAGTCAGGTTTGCCAGGGTCTATCGATCTTGTTTATTTTTTTCAAAGAACCAACTTTTTGTTTCATTAATTCTTTGTATGGTTTTTTTGGTTTCTATTTCATTGATTTCAGCTCTTATTTTTATTATTTCTCTCCTTCTATTTGTTTTGGGATTTGCTTTGTTCTTGTTTTTCTAGGAGTTTGAGATGTATCATTAGGTCATTGATTTGGGATCTTTCAATCTTTTTAATATATGCACTCATGGCTATAAACTTTCCTCTCAAGACTGCCTTAGCTGTGTCCATAGGTTCCGGTAGGTTGTGTTTTCATTTTCATTGACTTCTAGGAACTTTTTAATTTCCTCTTTTATTGCATGATGATCCATTCTTCATTAAGTAATGAGTTATTTAGTTTCCAGCTGTTGCATGTTTTTGTCTTTACTTTTGTTTGTTGAGTTCTACTTTTACTGCATTGTGGTCAGATAGTATGCAGGTATTATTTCTATTTTCTTATATTTGCTGAGGCTTGCTTTGTGCCCTAGGATATGATCTATTTTGGAGAAGGTTCCATGGGCTGCTGGAAGAATGTATATTGTGTAGAGGTTGGATGAAATGTTCTGTAGACATCTACTAGGTCCACTTGATCTATTGCATATTTTAGATCTTGGATTTCTTTATTGAGTTTTTGTTTGGATGACCTATCTATTGATGATAATGGAGTGTTAAAGTCTCCCACAACCACTGTGTTGGCGTTTATATATGCTTTTAGGTCTTTCAGGGTATGTTTGATGAAATTGGGTGCGTTGACATTGGGTGCGTACAGATTGATGATTATTATTTCCTTTTGGTCTATTTCCCCTTTTATTAGTATGGAATGTCCTTCTTTATCTCGTTTGATCAATGTAGGTTTGAAGTCTACTTTGTCAGAGATAAGTATTGCTACTCCTGCTTGTTTTCGGGGCCATTGGCTTGGTAAATCTTCTTCCAGCCTTTCATCCTAAGCCATATGCTTATTTCTGTCGGTGAGATGAGTCTCCTGTAAGCAACAAATTGTTGGATCTTCTTTTTTAATCCATTTTGTCAAACGGTGTCTTTTGATGGGTGAATTAAGTCCATTAACATTAAGTGTTAGTACTGATAGGTATGTGGTGATTCCTGCCATTTAGTTATCTTAGTTGTTGAAGGTTTGATTGTGTGTACCTAACTTGATGTTACTCTCTACTGTCTTGCTTTTTCTTTATCCTGTGGTTTGGTGCTGCCTGCCTTTTCATGGTTAGTTGGGTGTCACTTTCTGTGTGCAGGATCCCTTGCAGAATCTTTTGAATGGTGGCTTGTGGTCACATATTGTTTTAGTTTCTGCTTATCATGGAAGACTTTTATTGCTCCATCTATTTGAATGATAGCTTTGCTGGGTAGAGTATCCTGGGTTGAAGTTATTTTCATTCAGTGCCCGGAAGATCTCACCCCACGCTCTTCTTGCTTTTAATGTTTCTGTTGAGAAGTCTGCTGTGATTTTGATGGGTTTACCTTTGTATGTTACTTGTTTTTTCTCTCTTACAGCCTTCAATATTCTTTCCTTAGTTTCTGAACTTGTTGTTTTAATGATGATATGTCGTGGAGTAGTTCTATTTTGATCTGGTCTGTTTGGTGTCCTGGGCCTCTTGCATCTGTATGGGAATATCTTTCTCTAGATTTGGGAAATTTCCGTTATTATTTTGTTGAATATATTACGCATTCCCTTCGCTTGCACCTCTTCTTCTTCTTGATCATGATTCTCAAGTTTGGTCTTTTGATGGAGTCGTTGAGTTCTTGCATTTTCTTTTCACAGGTCTTGAGTTGTTTAATTAATAGTTCTTTTCCTTTAATTACCATTTCATCTTCAAGTTCTGAGATTCTGTCTTCTGTTTGTTCTATTCTGCTGGATTCCTTCCTTTGTTTTGCAGTTCTGTTTCGTTCTTTTTTCTGAGGTTTTCCATATCCTGCAGTTTTCCTCTTAATGTTGTCTATTTTTGTCCTGAGTTCATTTATCCTTTATTCATTGTTTCTCTCTTTCACTTTGGTGTTTATACAGTGCTTCTATGGTTCCTTTATTTCTTCTTTTGCTTTTTTCAAATTCTCTATTTTTATTGTCTTGGAATTTCTTGAGTGTCTCCTGTACATTTTGGTTGACCCTATCCAGTATCATCTCTATAAAATTCTCATTGATACTTGTAGTATGTCTTCTTTTAAATTATTCTTGTGGGCTTCATTGGGTCTTTGCATAGTTTATCTTCATTTTGTTGGAGTCTGGATCTGAGTTCTGTTCTCTTCATTTCCCTCTGGTTCCTGTACTAATTTTTTGCTGTGGGGAAACTGGTTTTCCCTGTTTTTTCTGTCTTCCCGTCATTGTTCCTTGGTTTTTACTGTCCCTGTACTGTGTGCAATTAAGTATTTTCTAGCTTTAATAATAACAATGGTAATATTTAGAATGGAAGTGAGCTGAGATGGAAAGCAAGAAGTTAAAGAAAAGGGAAAAACAAATATACAGACAAAGGGAGAAAGCAGAACAAAGGTTTCAGAACAGAAAAGTTTCAAAGTATAAACAGGGAGGTTAGTGTACTAATCACAGTAGAGCTGAACAGACATTAGAGAGAAGAGAGATTGAAAATCAAGATAAAAAATAAAAAATAAGTAAATGAAAAAATCTATATATAAAATGAATTAAAATAAAATGGAAAATAGAAAATTAAAAAAAAAACCCAAAAAACTTCCAAGTTTATATCAATGCAGTTTCAGTCTTAATAATTTGGGTGTCCTTCTCAGTCTCCAGTCCTGGAGATGGTGCCTCAGATGTTGTTCTGTGTCTCATCAAAGGGGATGCATAACAGTAGAACAAAACTACACACACACCACACACACACAAAGCCCCACCAAGTGTCCCACAGTTCAATGCAATACAGTTTCAGTAAGTTTTCGGCTTGCAGGTGTAATTCGGTTGTTCTCTCATCAAAGGTAGGGAGAAAAAGAAAAAAAAAGAGTCTGGAGCAGTTCTGAGGTTGGTATCTGCCGCTGTGGCTTGCCTGCTGCTGCTCTCAGCCTGTAGCTGGCGCGTATTTATGCAGATTCTGGGGTGAACTAGCACTCACTGGTCCCACAGGCTTTGTTTGTTCTGAGTTTCTCTGTGCGGAGCCTCTGCTAACAGGCTTTCCCCTTTCCAAGCACTGGGAAAGGTGACACTGCCCCGACGTTGTCAGGCCTGCGTGTTTATTAAGTTCACGTGGGAGGTGGGTCTTCCCCCTCTCCTGTGCAGTTTTCCTCCCACTGCCACTTTCAACGAAGCTTTCCTGCTCCTGCTTACTGGGTGGTGCTCCTGCTCCTCTGGCCCCATGCTTATTTACAGTTCACGTGGGAAGTGGTTGCCCCCTCTCCCTGGGATTTTCTCCTCTGCCCTCTCACAAGCTTTCCCTGCTCCTGGTTGCTGGCTGCATGCCCCGCTCCCGCCAGAGGCCGGCTGTTTATTTACGAGCCTGAAGGATTCTCTTCCCCCGAATCTTCAGCACCTCCAGGTTGCCCCACCTCGTTCCAGCATGTCTTAATTTTCTTATTTGGTTATTACTCAGTTTCTCTTTTTTTCCCCGGTTGGAGGTCAGTCTGTTCCAGGGGCTAGGCTGCTCTGGCCCGAGAGGCTGTCGTGGGTGGTACTTCGTTACTGCGAAGCCTCAAACCTGTCTGCGTCTTCCCAAGCCGTCGGTTGCCGGCCACTGCGGCCCGGGCCCTCCTCGGTGTCATCCGTTTAACATGAGTGGAGATCGCTCTGCGGCGGTCGGCGGAGATTGTTGGGAGCGGTCAAAGTTATGCCCTTTCTCAGTGATTATGCTGCAGAGTGTGTCTCCAGCCGTCTCGTCCAAGATTTCACTATAGGAAGCTCGCTTCTGCTTCCTACCTCTAGCTGCCACACACACACAGTAAAAAAACTTTTGTGTGTCCCTCCCACAAGTTTTCCCCCGCAGAGCAATAATAAAACAGACCCAAAAAATTGCAAACTGAACTAGTATTATGATAAACCTTATAATTCTAGCGTGTGTAACTTCACAGTTGAACACTAACACAAACAAAATGCTGCAGTCTATTTTACATAAAGAGGTCTTCCTCTCCTTTTTTTATTCATTTTGTTTTAGGATCTGATTTTAGATAGGTATTTGGACTAGGTATTTTAACTAGTAGTGGGGTTAAAACCAGAACTCAGCATTCATATTTCTGAATTTTATTTTTTTTCCTGACTTGTGGTGTTAGATATTGTGTGGAAGAGTCTTTTTATTCAAGCCTCGCGTCTCGAAACTATTGACCTTCTTGCTCAGCTTCTGGAATGCTGGCATTACAAGTGTGCACCACCACACCCAGCTTTAGAAATGTTTTTTAAGCGTATCTCATTTAATTTTAGATTATTTCCTTTGAAAAATGTTCATAATTCTTTTTGATTCTGATATGCATTGAAATACCCGTGTTGGTTTTACTTTGTTATTGAGATCACATTGAAAAACACTATAATCTTTGTTGTCTTAGGAATTATTTCTCAATTAGTAAGAAATGAGCATAAAGTTCTGCTGATGTGGGAAATAATAATAATAAAATATTTTTTCCTGTATGAGAGTGTGATGATTCCTGATGGTAAATTCCTGAAATTTTAATGCTAGATTTAAACAAAAAATTTTTTTTGCCTAGTTTATGCCACATCTTTCACTGAGATGAAACTCTCCTAATTTAATACTCAGTCTTCAAGAAAGGACCCTACTTTGTTGTTGACCATGTCACATGGTTTGAAGTTTCCACTGTGTTCTGTTGCCTCAGTGACAGATGCTTCTGTACGCAGTGAAGACCTTTGCCATGGCAGGTAACAGTTACTGTACTGACAGAACTGATTTTTTTGTGTCTTCAGGAGATATTCTTGGTCCTTCCATCAATGGCTTAGCTTCACTGATTCGGATGCCTTATGGTTGTGGTGAACAGAACATGATAAACTTTGCTCCAAATATTTACATATTGGATTATCTGACCAAAAAGAAACAACTAACAGATAATGTAAAAGAAAAGGCCCTTTCATTTATGAGACAAGGTAAGCATTTTAGAAGTATTCTTTTATTTGTAAAAAGAATGTCCTGGGCAGGGGTTTGGCTCAAGTGGTGGAGCACCTGCCTAGCAATCATGAGGTCCTAAGTTCAAACGCCAGTATTGCAAAAAAAAAAAAAAAAAAAAGTTTGTCCTCGTTGTTAGCTGGGTTTGCTGTAGATGGTATTTTGCAATGGTTGTTGTCTCTGTATGTGATGGTGGGCTAGAAGGTATTGAGATGTGCTGGAACTGCAACCAATGGGAAGCTGTCCCCAGTCTTCCTGCAGCTAATGTTGACTAACTGCTGCAAGATGTTTGTTAGTGATGGCTTAAACAGGTAGTTTCTGGAGAGTTTGATAATTATAACTCTTCGAAAATCTAAAGGATTGAGTGTTCATTTATTCACTTAGTGCCAGGTTGTTCTATCGCTGAGAAAACAGGAAGTCAGGGCCTTTCCTCTCAAGTAATTCACTGTCAGTGAAGACAGTGTCATGGACAAGGACTTTCTCAGTGCTATATAAATGTCCTGTAGATGGGCATTAGGGCAGACATGTTTATATGGGGGGGCCTGGTGTCCCTCAGAAAATGCCCCGACGATGATAATCCTACCCTGATTGCCTGAACGGTAGGAACCATTCACAGATACCAGCTGTACTGACCACTTGGTAATAGCCACAGGTAACACAAGTTGAGTGCTTGCTCTGTGGTGGGCAGTGTTCTATGCACTTACATCTAATATCTGTTTGAATCCTCACAGTCAGTCAGTATCAGCACTAATCCAGATGAGGAAGCAGAGGCATAGAAAAGTTAACTAACTTGCCCAGGGTCATAGAGCAAGTGAGTGACAAAGCTGGAACCTGAACTTGATATCTTGATCCACAGCCCACCTTTAGCATCCACATCTAGGAGAAGAGGTAGCCCTGGGACAATTTTGATAATAATAAAGTTGTACAAATGATTTTCTGAAATACCCTGAAAATCAACACAAAATTATAGTCTCTGTTTTGCATTTCTTTCTTAGGGACATTTAGCAAGATCTCTGTGCGGATTAATTTTATTGTACAGTTTATATGCTGTATAATTTATATTTAGAAATATGTGTATGTTGTACATATAATGTACATCAATTTCATAAGAATTGAAGAGTTTATACAAAATGATTGGAAATGAATTTTAGTATAAGAAAAGTATAGATTAATGCTTTTGTTTTTTTAATAACAAATAGGTTAAATGGAAAGCCATTTACTATTTTGCTGATTTTTCCACAGAAGAATTACAAAGCTCAGTAAAGATACTATTTTGATATGATCCTTTCTTTCAGGTTCCCTCATTATATAGAGACTTGTTTATCCTAAACTAAATTCTATGTAATAGTAGTAATAGCAGCTAACCCATTTCCATTCAGTCTCACAGAATCCTAGAAGGTAGGTGTACTATTATATCCATTTTACAGATGGGAAGATTGAGGCATAGGGAAGTTAACTTATCCACGATTATCCTCAAGTGCTCTGGTTCTAGAGTCTATGCTTTGCCTCAGAACCATGCAGGATAATTCTCATGTGCAATGTTCTTTGATTGCTAGAAGCAGTGGGCATAGAATGGAAGAGGAATTGGGTCAAGATGGTTGAATACCACCAATGTGCCAGAGGTCTCAGTGGGGTTCTGATAAAACAGTGAGGGAGAAACGTGGGGTTCTGTGGAGAAGGAGTGTTAGACAGTGCGAGCTGTGAGATGTTGACCCCAGTGGCTAAGCTGGTGTCAGTGTCCAAAGGTCTCCATGGAGTGGGATGGTACAGACAAAGGCTGAGTGCAAATCAAGGGCTTAGTTAGACACCATGCAGTGCAGGAGAGAGAAAACAAGGGAGACCAAGGTTTGGAGGCAGGGCTGAATGTGGCCTAAGTTGTGATGTAAGAGGGGATAGTGATTATATTTTCCTCTGATTAGGCACCGCTGTGCAGATATTCTGGTGGCTCTCAAATCCAGCTTCAGTTTTCCTACCCACAAGACAGAGATAAAACGAGTACCTATATGATGATCTGCTTTGAAGATTAAATGAGATATTTTAAAAGGGCTCCAGGAACTTGCTAAGGTACCTCTCCCTTCTGTGTTTTTGCATGTGAGGACATAGCAAGAAGTTACTCTCTTGGAACAAGAGAGAGATGTTGCTGTATTTGCTAGCACTTTACCCTGATCTCTCAGAATGGTGAAAAATAAGTATTTTTCTTAAATTTAAAAAGAAACAACAAAACAAAACATCAACAAAGAGATGTTTTAGCACTTTTTCAACACATTCTAGTGCCAAACAGATGTCAGCTATACTAGAGTTAGCTGCTTCTAAACCTGAAGTTAGGGTCTTAATGTCAGCACCAAATCCTGTCCAACCACCTCTAAAATGAAGACTAAAATTCTTGCACTTCTCTCCATCCCACTGCTAATTGTTCCACCCACTGCATCCTTGTTCACCTAGATTATCCCAATGGCTTCCTACAGAAGTCTCTGCTTCTGTATGCACTTGTTCTTCAGTGCAGTCTTCATATATTACAGGAAGGGATCTTTAGAAAATGTCAAGATCATGTTGCTAAAAATCCTCCAGTGGGTTGCTGGCCTTGGCCATCTTTAGCCTCATCTGAAGCCATTCTCATCTTCAATTCTGGTCCATCTGGAACACTTTTGACTCTACAGTGCTTCAAGCTTTGAGCTTGCTCATCCTTCTCCTAGAATGCTATTCCCTCATATTTTTCCATGGCTGGCTTCTTCCCATGATTCAGATGTGTATTTCTTAGTATGGCCTTCTTTGATCACTTGGGGATTTAGGTTCATCATTTACTGTGGAGAGTCCTGAAGTGCTTCCACAGTGGAGTCCTTATCTGTGCTAATGATTCTACCTGTTGGCATGTTTTTATCAACCAGGAAATGTAACCAGTGGTTTCAATGTGTTATCCTTTGAACTGGTGAAGTGGTTGTTGGCAGTCAGTGAACTAGAGATCCCCAAATACATCTTCTATTGTGAACCAAATTATATTCCAAAAAGTGGACAAAAGTTTCCTGGTAAAAACTTTTTATTATGAAATCAGTGTCCTTTCAGATATGCTGTTTTTTCTTTTCCATCACATTTGCTAAAGTCCTTTAAATTTAGTGTAGTTGTTATTTTCTAAAAAGTTAAAGTAGCTGTGAGTCATGATCATATCATTTAAATGTCATTTATGCACGGCACATTGTTTTACTTAAATTATGCTTGGCCCAGGAGCCCGGTAACCTAACCCATTGATTTTTTGGTCAAAACAACAGGTATGTCATTGAAGTGTGTTTGCTGTCAAAAAGAAAGCAGAACCATAAAATGAAACTTTCTGATAAGGATTGGAAATCTTGAACCTGTTAATTAAAGATTTAAACTGCATGTTTTCCTCAGATATTTAAATCACAGTGCCTGCAGCTCTATTTTTGAATAAGACTCAGGTCAAATCTAGCAGAAAGCACATTATGTTTTCTCTATTCCAATAGCAACAGGAAGAAAGTAGAGTTCAGAATTCTGATGCTGCCTTTGGTTATCCCAAGTATAGCTCAAGGCTCTAGTGAAGAAGCCAAACCTGGGAGCTGTGGATTTCCCACTTTCCATTTCACATATGCAAGTTGATAATGATTACTTTTCCTGTCCTACAGAAAATAATTTTTATCAGCTTTTACCAGAGCAAGTGCTTCATATAGTCACAAAGAGCTGATTTCACCTCTTAATTATATGCAGTTTTGATCCTTTGTGTAAACCAGGTCAAATTCTATTCAGAAATTTTTTTTTTTTGGCAGTGCTGGGATTGAACTCAGGGCCTTTTCACACACGCTAGGCAAATACTCTATCAAGATACATCCCCAGCCCCAGAATGTTGCTTTTAAAAAGTATTTTTATTATACTTTTGCGTTAGTATACATTAATAATTTGAGGGGGTTTCATTGTGATCATTCCATATACTTTGAACCTCCATTATATTCCAATTTCTGCCTCCCTCCTTTCCTGTTTTTCAAACAGTATTTAATGGGTTTCATTATGCTTTATCACACACACACACACACACACACACACACACACACACACACACACCCCCCCCTCAGTATATTTTCCTTTCCCATCTCCATTGCCCTCTGCCCAGATTGTTAATTTTTGGTGTATGTCTGTGGGCAGCAATTTTGTCTTTATTATGAATACATTATGTTTATGGTTAATCCCAAGAAAATTCGTGACCCAGAAAAGTGTGTATTTTACCTGGCCCTTTACAAACAGCATTTCCTGGATTATTATCCTAACAGCCTCTTGACTTCTTTTGTATTTCAGTTTTTAGAAGTATCTGATAATTATGACTATACTATTAGCAGACTCAAAAGGTACTCTTATTTCTTCATGAACTTTTGGACAAAATCATGTTTTGACTTTCTCACCTGTTGTGAGAAAGAGCCTCTAATTTAGGTGACTGAAATGTTGAACAGTCTATTAAAATGTTGAATAACAAGCATCATGGCTGTGACAACAGTGTCCTTTTGTGTTCATGGAGTGGAAATTAGGCCTGACAAGCTGGGATGTTTTAGAGGACACACAGCTGAGGGTTCTCCAACAATACTACATGGCTGGTGTGGCATGAAAGACACCCCACAGGAGACCCCCCACAAAGTGGTCACAAAAGCTCTCTTCGTAGATTCTGCTTATTTTCTTATTTTTCCATTGGAGCAGAGCTGGAGGTTTGGGTTCTGAGTTTTATCTAAACTGGGTCAAGAAATTTACTGTACAACTGGAGACTAGAGGTGGCTCCTCTTGTGCCCTGGGCTGACTGCCCCTGGTGGAAGAATGGTGCTAGTTGTTGATATTACTGGAGAATGTTGGAGGTTAGCCACCTGAGAGGTTATTTCCGTAAGCACTGACCTCATCTCCATGATCTCAGCTCTCTGACTGGTTTTATAATATCTCATACTTGGAACCACAGTTGTTGACGTGATCTGGGGGCTTGGAGGCATATGGTTCTCTCCTTGAGGTTAGTCCTTCTCACTGATGGAGGGCCCCAGATGTTCTCTGCTCCTTCCTTTTTCCTCCCCTCCCGCTTTCCCCCCTTGTCTCTCCTTCACTTTTCTGTCCGATTGAATTTAAACCAGTTATCTGGTGGATTTAGTTCTGAATTTGAAATTGAGGGAGAAGGTCTTAGACTCTTTTGCTAATTTTGTCTCTGAACATTAAGAAATTATTCTGCTTTTCTGTGACACCTGATAATCTCTGAGAAATGAAGAGATTATATGATGTATTTTCTCAAGGTCATATAAAAACTAAAACATGATAAAGTGAGGGCTGAGGCTATAGCTCAATGGTACAGTGGTTGCCTAGTATGTGTGAGGCCTTGGGTTCAACATCTAGCACAACAAAAAACAAACCAAAATAACAACAATAAAATGATAAAGTGAACTAAGTTAGTATTAATAATAGTATTTATCATATTTCCATTCTTATTTTAAGAATATATACATCAACACATTTCCAAAAGTCAAACTCATTTTGAAAACTACAAAGGGGGCTATCTTCTTACCTAATTTTCCTTGTCCCTACCCCTGTAGGTAACCCACAAATGAGTTTATAGTTTATCTGCTGTCTTTCTCACTCTCTTTCTGCAAAAATAACTATATGAATGCATGTTTTCTTGCTTTTTTTTTTTTTTTTTTGTCTTTTTCCCTTTGGGGTTTTTTTTTTTTTTTTTTTTTTTTGGTGCTGGGGACGGAACTCAGGGCCTTGCCTGGCAAGTGCTCTTCCACTGAGCTAAATCCCCAACCCCGATGAATGCATGTTTTCTTATTTCCTACTTTTTTCTTGCAGAAAAGGTAGTATATTATATATGCTACTTTAGGCTCCACCTTTTCAGTTAACAAGATACCTAGGAAATTACCCTGTACTAGTTCACAAAGAGATATTTCTCATTCTTTTTTTCAAAGCTAGGTAATACTTCATTGTGTTTACGTGTCATTGTTTATTCAACCATATCTCTCTGATTTAGTGTCTTTTAGATAGTTTCCAATATTTTGTAATTAAAAATAGTACTGCAGTGGATAATCTTCTGCACATCTATTTTTGTATTATTGGAGGCATATCTCCATGCTAGATTCCCAGATGTGGAATTTTTGGGTCAAAGGGTAATGACATTCTTCTGCATAGTAGCACCATTCAGAATTTCCTATAGCAATGGATGTCTTCCTTACAGAATGAGTGATCAAACTTTTGAGACTTTGATAATTTGATGGGTAAAAATGGTAGCTCAGTGTAGGTTTAATTTTCATTCTTTCTACTAGGAAGTTGAACATTTTTCATATACATAAGTCCATCTTTATATATTTCTTTGACTTGTCCATTTTTGTCTTTTCTTCAATTTTCTATAGGAGATTTTTAACCTTTCTCCCTAAATTTAAATGTGTTCTTTATGTAGATTATATTAATATATGTTATATCAACATATAAGCATACAAATAAAATTTATATATGAATATTATTACTACTGGATATTTATTAATTTTATATGTTGCAAAAAATATAGTGAAACCTCATTTATAGTGTGTATTGCCATGGAAGAGTTTAAGAATTTTTTTTATAGTCAAACTTACCAATTTTTATCTTATCACAACTGGTGCTTAGAAAACATTTCCTTTCACTGTGCTGGAAAGTAATGCCTATAGTTCATTGAGAGCTTCCCAATTAAAAGCTACTGTCCTATGACTTTCACATATCACCATGGCTAATCATTGGAAGATTTCTGTGAACTATGTGGAGACTGGCTTCGGAGCCAGTTAGACCATTGCTAGTCCTCCATCTACTGTGTACTGTCATGTGACTTTGCACATGGTATTTGCATCCTCTGAGTTCCAGTCTCATCATCTGCATAAAACGGATAACAGTAGCATCTACATTATAGGGATTTGGTGGAAATCACCTCAGTCAATATCTACAAAGAGTCTTCAACAGTTCTTGACACCTAGTTTTAAATAAAGTTTGTCTATTTAACTACTGTACCATAATATTTCATTATAACCATAATGATTATAATCTAATGCTCAAATTAAGCAGAATTTTGTCATCACTTTGAATGTCCATTTTCCTTTTATTATAGGTCTTAAAGATAACTATAAAATATAGCACCATGTGGGTTTTTTTCTTTTACACATTCTGTCATATTATAACTTAAGTCAGACACTCAGATACAGGATTTCTAGTGGGAAGACTCAAGGAAAATAGTTTGGGACTTAATGGCAAAAGCCAATTAGTGAATCCTTTGTGTTTGGCCTATAATTTCTGTCACTTGACTTTGAGAATTGTATGCATGGTTTGCAAATATGAAACATCTGCTTTTAAAAAACATTTTAGTAGTATATGATAGTTGCACAGGGAGTTTTATTGTGACATTTACATATATACATGTATTGTACTCTGGTTCGGTTTATCCCCTTCATTTATCTTCCTCTTCTCCCTCACTCCTCTTCTTGAAATGACTTTGACAAGTTTCAGTGTTCCATATTCATACATGTATAGGGCGTACCTCAACCATATTCACCTTCTTTTACCCTCTTCATTTACCTTCCTCCTCCTGCTGTTACCCTCCCTTTGATAAGACTTATTTTACATTCTTGTCCTTCATTGTTTAAGTGTCTGTTCATTGTTCAGTGGGGCTTTGTCTTGCAAATATATTTTACTTTAATCAGTTTAACCCCTTCTATTACTCTTCCTTATCTTTTCCCCATACCCTGTGTTGTTCAGCAGTTTTCAGCATGTTTCATTGTGTCTTGTTCCTACACAGGTGTGTATTTCATTATTATTCACTATCATTCTTTTCTTCTTTTCCTCCTCCCTTAGTCTCCTCTACCAGTCCCACTTTTGGAAACATGTTCTGGATATATATATATATACACACACATACACACACATGTATGTATATGTGCTAATGCTTGTATTTGTATTTGGATCTATCTTCCACATATAAAACATGTGATCTTTGTCTTTCTGAACCTGGCTTACTTCACTTAACATGATGTTCTCTTCTTCTGTCTGTTTACCTGCAAATGACAAAATTTCATTCTTTTTTATGGCTGAATAATATTACATTGTATATCTATATGTCATTTTCTTAATCCCTTCATCAGTAGTGGGACATCTTGGTTGTTTCCATAGCTTGGCTATTATGAATAATGCTGCAATGAACATGAGTGTGCAAGTGTCTTTTCTGTATCCTGACTTACATTCCTTCAAATATATGCCTAGGAGTGGTATTGCTAGATCATATGGAAGTTCTATTTTTAGTTTTTTGAGGAGCTTTGATACTGCTTTCCAGAGTGGTTGTACTAATTTACATTCCTACCAACAGTGTATAAGGGTAACCGCCCCTACCCTGCGCCCCCGCATCCTCGCCCACATTGAAACATCTGCTTTTATTAAAGCAGGTACACAAGCCTTAACTTTTCCCAATTTACTTTTATAGTAATAATTAATTACTACCACCAAGTCCTTTTTAAAATAGGAAATGTGGAATTGGTGTGGTAGGCATAGCAGTTGATTTTTTAGTTCACTCCAGCTGGCTATGACCAAAAATTTACGAGACATTGTCTTAGATTTTTTAACATTTTCCCCTGTCTGTTACTGGGCTAAGAAGGTACTTCACTTTCTGTTTTGGCCATAAGCTTTGATTATGATACCATACACAATATTTTGGGCAGCATGTAATTTTAGATGACTAAGCATTGAAACTGTTGTGGTGAACAGTAGAAGGGTAAATAAATCTCCACCTTTTCTTTCTTTTGAATGGCAAAGACGTGTCATCCATCCTATAATCTTTTGAATTTGCTTTAATTGTCGGATATCACAGTTCTTATTTCTCATATTTTGCTTGAAATTTACTGGTATTTAAAATTTCCTACAACATGTAACATAGAAAATACTTGCTGTTAAGTATTGGTTTGGTGTTTTCTTCTTTCCCCTTCTCTGCCTGTTCCTCAGTATTGTCATTATTAGACATGTTCCTTATGGCAAGTTGATTACGTTGTTTCTTATGTCTTTAGGTTACCAAAGAGAACTTCTCTATCAGAGGGATGATGGCTCTTTCAGTGCTTTTGGGAATGCTGACCCTTCTGGGAGCACATGGTAATTTGACAATTTAGCAAATCTTTTTCATGGAATGGGCTTTTATTTGATCACAATGACCATGAAATTGACAAATATGTATTTTGTGTAGACTTGGAATTTGCTTTTCCCATAATCCGGCTTTTAAAGAGGTTGTGTTTTAAATTATGATTTTTAAAATATTAACAATCAATGCTTTTTATGTAGAAAAGATAAATCATGATTATTTTGTTTATGGGAAAAGCATCAAAAACACTTTATGATGATGGTGCATCTGATAAAATAAGTTTGTTACTGTGACATTGTTCTTTCCATAATCTAATATTCTAGCACAAGTGTTTTGTTAATACAGTCTGTGTAGTTTCCTTAAGGTTTTTCTTTTTTTTTTAATAAGCAATGATGGAATTAAATAATGTACATCCAGCATTTCCTCCTGAGTGGAGTCTCTATGTGGCTGATTTTGGACAATGAATCTCTCCTTGCACTGTCTGCAATCTCATTTTTCAGAATCAGACTGACCAACTGTGTTAGTTGGCTTTCTGTTGCTAAAACAAAACACCTAAGAAAATAAACTTACAGAGAAAAAAATTTATTTTGGCTCATAGTTTTGAAAGTTACAGTCCATGGTTAGTTGGCCTCATTACTTTGGGCCTATGCGAGACAGCACATCACAGTGGCAGACTAGAACCACTCACTTCATGGCCAGGAAGCAAATGAGAAGGAGACCTGAGTCCTGTAATCCTTCTTAAGTGTAAGATCTTAATGACCAAAGGCCCTTCCATAAGGCCTCATCCTACCACTTCCCAATAGGACCATTCTGGGGACCAAATCTTTAACACATGAGACTTTGGGGGATATTTGAGATCCAATGAATATAGCTCTAATGCTATCAGTCATTTAGGCTAAGTGTGCTTGGTAACAACCTTCTGACTCTCAGTAGCTTATTAACAGTATCTTATGTTTTGCCCATTGCATCAGCAGGAGGAGGTCCGTCTAGGTTTCAGCAGGCATCTAGGTTTCTCACTGTCTTAGCAGGAGACTCTTAGCTGGCCATAGCCCTGAAAGAGAAGGCTGCAGTATCTAGCACTGGCAACTAGATGGTTCAGTCTGAGCATAACATTTCTGCTCACTTTGCCATTCTCAGAGCTGGTCACTTGACCAGCTATAGGTTCAAAGGTATAAGGAAGTAAATTCCTCTGCATACTCAAAGTAATTTTGAGTATCAGGCATTAATAATGTTTGCCACATTAGCTTTTTATAAAAACAGACAGATTTGCTTCAGATTTTCTCTCATCAGGAGCCAGGACATAGATCCATAAGTAGAAAGATTTCTTTATTTTATTGCTTGACATTCTTTTCACTTTAATATAGTATTCTAGCCAGGCATGCTGGTGCATACCTGTAATCCTAGCACTTGGAAAGCTGAGGCAGGAGGTCTATGCTTTGGAGGCCATTCTGGATTATGAAGTAAGGCCCGGTCCCATTCCACTCCCCAAATATAATGTTCCATATCAGGGTTGGCAAATTTGTTTTCTGTTAAGCATTGGATAATAAATAATTGAGACATTTTGGACTACAAGGGGTCTTTGTTGCATAAACTCCCCTCTCCTTCTTTCCCTCCCTCCTTACTCCTTTCTTGCATTCCTTTCTGCCTTCTTCTCTGTCTGTTGTCTTTTCTTCTTCTCCTTCCCTCTCTCCTTACGACCCTTCTCCTCTCTCCTCTTCTGTCCTCCCTTCTACTCTCTTATCCTTTCCTTGCCTTTCTTCTCTTGCTTCCTTTAAAAATCATTCTTAGGTGTTGGTGGCAGGTAGGCTGTGTGCATGTGGGTCAAGAAAATTTGGCCCACAGGCTGTAGACCTATAGGAGAGAAAAAAATATCCATTTCCTCACTTAAAGTACTCCAGTTCGCCTGCAAACTGTGTTTACTTCATCCACAGATTTTGGGCTGTATGATACCTTTTTTTGGTACATGCTTGAACAGTCCAAAGATGAGCAACCTTGGGCAATTTCTTTAACTATCTTTAATGTCAAATTCTCAATGTGTGAAAGAATGAGGATTAGACGATTTCTAAATTCCTTTCTAAGCAAGATGTTTTATGAGTTCACTTAGAATTTCTTGGTCATGCTAAGTGGAAAGTAGGTCCACCTGCTAGGCAGGTTGTTGAAGTTGTTTTAGCAAGTTGTCTCTGTTTTCTACCCTTTTTTCCTTCTTGGGAGATTCTATCTTTGACACATTTTCTGGTGGGGGAAAAATGTGTTTTTGTTTTGCTTGCTCAGTGTTATTTAGAGGACTTAAGTGTACTTTATGTCCCCTTCCTTTTTTTTTTTTGCCAAGGTTGTCAGCTTTTGTTTTAAGATGTTTCCTTGAAGCTGATTCTTACATAGATATTGATCAGAATGTGTTACACAGAACATATACTTGGCTCAAAGGACGTCAGAAATCCAATGGTGAATTCTGGGAGCCAGGAAGAGTTATCCACAGTGAACTTCAAGGTGGCAACAAAAGTCCAGTAACACTTACAGCCTATATTGTGACTTCTCTCCTGGGATACAAAAAGTTTCAGGTACTTAATCTTTTTTTTTTTTCAATTATTCATTTAATAGATCTCTCTTTCTCTTTCCTTCCTTAAGGTACTTAATCTTTAATAGATCTTTTTTCTTTGCTCCCTCCCTGTTTCCCTCCCTCTCTCCCTCCATTTCTTCTTTCCTTTTTTGTAATGGGGTTTGAACTCATGGTTGCTGGGCAGGTACACCTACATTCTGAAAAGCCTGTTGAAAGGGCATGGACACTTGGACAAGAATAAGTGTGCATGGGAATTTATGCTGATGTACTTAATTTTGCTTTAGAGCCGTCTTCCTGTCGGATGCATTATTGCTTATTGCTAACTGCATTTTACAAGATCAACAGCTATTTTCTTTTTTTATTCGTTTATTCACATGTGCATACATTGTTTGGGTCATTTCTTCCCCCTACCCCCCCACCCCCACCTTCTCCCCCCCACCCCCTCGCTTCCAGGCAGAATCTGTTCTGCCCTTATCTCTAATTTTGTTGAAGAGAAGACATAAGCAATAATAAGAAAGACAAAGCATTTTTGCTAGTTGAGATAAGGATAGCTATATAGAGAGTTTCCTAGCATTGCTTCCATGTACAAATGTGTTACAACCCAAGTTGATTCATCTCTACCTGACCTCTTCTTCATTACTTCCCAGGCACCTTCCCACATTGACTTCTGTCACTTTAAGGTTACTGTATTAGCTCCTCTGCAGTGGGGACATCAAACACTTTCAAGTTTTGGGTTTCTTACCTATCCCCATTCCTCCCGTATATGCTCTCCCCTTAGTGTGTGACCCAAGTCCAACAACACTACTGCATATGCCCTAGATCTGAAGTCCGCATATGAGGGAGAACATATGATTTTTGGTCTTCTGAGCCTGGCTAACCTTGCTCAGAATGATGTTGTCCAGTTCCACCCATTTACTTGCGAATGATAAGATTTCATTCTTCTGATGAACAGAAGCTTTTTAGTTTTATGAGGTCCCATTTAAACTGAAGAGAACACCCACAGAGTGGGAGAAAATCTTTGCCAACTACACATCAGACAAAGAACTGATAACCAGAATATACAGGGAACTTAAAAAACTAAATTCTCCCAAAACTAATGAACCAATAAAGAAATGGGCACATGAACTAAACAGAACTTTCTCAAAAGAAGAAATTCAAATGGCCAGAAAACACATGAAAAAATGCTCACCATCTCTAGCAATAAAGGAAATGCAAATTAAAACCACGCTAAGATTCCACCTCACCCCTGTTAGAATAGCCATCATCAGCAACACCACCAACAACAGGTGTTGGCGAGGATGTGGGGAAAAAGGAACCCTCTTACACTGTTGGTGGGAATGTAGACTAGTACAACCACTCTGGAAAAAAATTTGGAGGCTACTTAAAAAGCTGGACATCGATCTACCATTTGATCCAGCAATACCACTCTTGGGGATATACCCAAAAGACTGTTACTCCAGAGGCACCTGCACATCCATGTTTATTGCGGCACTATTCACAATAGCCAAGTTATGGAAACAGCCAAGATGCCCCAGCACTGACGAATGGATTAAGAAAATGTGGTATCTATACACAATGGAATTTTATGCAGCCATGAAGAAGAACGAAATGTTATCATTCGCTGGTAAATGGATGGAATTGGAGAACATCATTCTGAGTGAGGTTAGCCTGGCCAAAAACCAAAAATCGTATGTTCTCCCTCATATGTGGACATTAGATCAAGGGCAAACACAACAAGGGGATTGGACTATGAGCACATGATAAAAGCGAGAGCACACAAGGGAGGGGTGAGGATAGGTAAGACACCTAAAAAACTAGCTAGCATTTGTTGCCCTTAACGCAGAGAAACTAAAGCAGATACCTTAAAGCAACTGAGGCCAATAGGAAAAGGGGAACAGGACTAGAGAAAAGGTGAGATCAAAAAGAATTAACCTAGAAGGTAACACCCACGCACAGGAAATCAATGTGAGTCAATGCCCTGTATAGCTATCCTTATCTCAACCAGCAAAAACCCTTGTTCCTTCCTATTATTGCTTATACTCTCTCTACAACAAAATTAGAAATAAGGGCAAAATAGTTTCTGCTGGGTATTGGGGGGGGGAGAGGGAGGGGGCAGAGTGGGTGGTAAGGGAGGGGGTGGGGGCAGGGGGGAGAAATGAACCAAGCCTTGTATGCACATATGAATAATAAAAGAAAAATGAAAAAAAATATTTCATTCTTCTTCATGGCCAAGTAAAATTCCATTGTGTATAAGTACCACATTTTCTTAATCCATTCGTCAGTAGTGGGGCATCTTGGCTGTTTCCATAACTTGGCTATTGTGAATCGCGCTGCAGTAACCATGGGTGTGCAGGTTCCTCTGGAGTAACCTGAGTCTCATTCCTTTGGGTATATCCCAGGAGTGAGATTGAACAGCTATTCTCTTTATAAAATTCCTACTATTTTCCTAGCTCAGTTCCAAGCATATAGAAGGTAAACTTTTCCTTGAATTTAGAGGTTCATTTTCTGAGATTAAATAGGAGCATTATCTTTCTCAAACTGTATTTTCTTCTCTCTTCTGGGTTTATGACACTCAGTGGGACAAACAGTGGCAAAAGATCCACCTTTTATGTCCCTTTCCTTCTAAAGGAGGTGCCTATGGAATGCTAGCAACTAAAAAGCAGTATTGTTTTCAAAACATATAGCACATTTGTTCTTACAAATGAGCATTGTTGATTCCCTTTGCCAGTACAAGGTCAGGTGCTTAATAGACATTGGAATTAAATTTTGGATGAATGTTTCAATGAATGTACTTTTTGTTTTAATGTGTGGTATATGCTATTTTGAATGATAAAATAGTATTTGTTTTCTTCCAAGCATAATTTTGACATACAAGACTCGGTCAAGTTTTTGGAGTCTGAATTTAATAGAGGAGTTTCCAACAATTATACTCTAGCTCTTATTACTTATGCACTGTCGTCAGTTGGAAGTCCTAAAGCCAAGGAAGCTTTGCAAATGCTGACTCTTCGTGCTGAACAAGAAGGTAATGCTGGGACCCCACTGAAGCTGGTAGACTGTTAAGCACTATGGAATATATGTGAAAAAACTTTGTAAGCCAGATATGAAGTTGATCACATTTGCACCTTCAGAATGAAAAATGAAATGCAGAACGAAATCAGGACAGGCCTGACATGGTTAGTTAGAGCGCTTCTACTGAATTTGGGGCTTGAGCATCTCCTTTTAGATGTGTTCTGCCCTACCACTAGTTACCCTTTGAGTTTCCAATACCATTTCTGATTTGGTGGCCTTGTGTACTGCTTAAAACCTTGAATTCTGTTGCAGAATCACGTTTTGATTCTTCAACTTACCTTCATCACCTTCAGTTTCTCCCACTGTAAAGTGTAATAACCCCCAAGTTAGGAGAATTCAATCAGGTAATGTGCAGTGCTCACCTTATCACAGCAAGTGCTCAAAACTATGACTTAATGCAGATATCAAAAAATGCTGCTAGTAAGTAGGTTGTGTGTGTGATTTTATTTGAATGCGTATTACTTTTGGGTTACAAAAGGACAAAAAGCACATAGTAGTTACTACTGTGGTCTCTATAAAGTAGTCAGGAATCCAAGTCTGGGGGAGGGGAGGGAGGAAAAGGGAGAGAGAAAGAGAAACAGAGAGAGAGAGAGAGAGAGAGAGAGAGAGAGAGAGAGAGAGAGAGAGAGATAAATATGTTCAGATAATATCCACTGATTTAAAAGTTTTGTTCTGTTCATTCCAAAAGGATAGCTATAGAAAGTGCTTACAGAGCTGAGACTGTAGAAAATATTATATTGATATTAACAGTAATTAATTAATTTAGATTGGACCCTTAATACTTATTCCAATGAAGAGGATTGGGTAATTATTGCCTAGAGGCCAGGTGTACTTGGCATTTTTTCTTTGTTTAGCTTTGTGGTAATCATTTCACATCCCAGTAGAAATTTTCAGAGAAGGGGGGTGGGGCATCGCATAGGATGCTCTTCTGGGGGCTAGAGCAGAATCATCTTCAGGAGGTTGTTGAATTGGCTGGGAGCCCTTACTTTTTTTCCTTAGGGGCTTGTATTTCAAACTTATTTTACCAAATTTCAGATAATGAAAAAGAGAGAGGTTTCCCAGAATGTGAGAACCAGTTAACAACAGATTTCCCAGAATAGTATTCTTTCCCATGTGTCCTAAACTATTTTTAGGATGACCTGGTCAGATAAGTTATATACGTTATTTTCTGGAAGACATTATGTTTTATTCTTTTATTTATAGCTATTTAGTCTTGAGCCAAACATATGGAATTTCTCTTGGGAAAAATATTTTCGTCAAAACATTTTCATCAAAACATCTTCAATTACAGGCAATAGGAGAAAGATGAAAATTTATAAGTTACAATCATTTAATAAGTAACATATAGGGCTGGTGGAATGGCTCAAGCCTCAAGTGGTAGAGCAGCTGCCTAGCAAGGTGAGGCCCTGAGTTCAAACTCCAGTCCCACCAAAAACAGAAAAAAAAGTAACATATATAGCTGCACTTTTGTGTATGTGTGTATTCATATGTTCCAGGTTGATATACACAGAGAGTTTTTTAATGCTAGTCAGGCAGAAGTTGGACCGGTTCAGAATACTTACTGGTGTAAAACATAAGTTTTGGTAGTTGATCTGAATATCATTGCTTTTCTCTTAAGGAGACATGCGATTCTGGATGTCACCCATGTCTGTACTTTCTGAGTCCTGGCAGCCACGCTCCCTGGATATTGAAGTTGCAGCCTACGCACTGCTCTCACATTTTCTGCAGTTTCAGGTTTCCGAGGGAATCCCAATCATGAGGTGGCTAAGCCGGCAAAGAAGTAGCTTGGGAGGGTTTGCATCCACCCAGGTGAGAGTGACCGTTTTTCCTTTATGCTGTATTATCTGTGTCTGTGTCTATGTGTGTACCTATGCCTATGAGTATACCTATATATCTGTAAATTCATTGGCCACTTTTTCATGATTTCATAATATTACTTCATTTGAAAGCTTAATAACTTAAGATGAAGGTCTAAGGTATTAATTTTAGCTTTTTTTTCATATGAGCTTCATGTTTGTATTTATATGGAATAATCAGTTTTGCATCTGGATTAGCTGTTTTGTACCTGTGGTAACCGAGTCGGGGACAGTTGTTCTGTTCTGTGAAGCCCTGGTTTTTTGAGCCTTTTCTGTACTCTGAGCCATGAGCTTCAAAGGGTCAGGACGCCCTCCCCTCTCACAGGGGTGGAAGGATGGGCAGTGGGTCTTCTGACTGCCTCTGAATTTATTCTTTGGAGGCCGTGACATGTACTTATATGAGCCGTCATTTTTCCCCTCTCAACAGGATACCATTGTGGCTTTAAAGGCTCTCTCCGAATTTGCAGCCCTCATGAATACAGAGAGGACAGACATCCATGTGACTGTGATGGAACCTCACTTACTACATCCCCTAACGTTTCAGATCGACACACACAACCGTCTTCTCCTTCAGACAGCACAGGTGTGGACAAGGAGTAGTAGTTCAAAATCCTGTGTTGATGCTTCTTTATACTGCGGGACTGCTTCACTTCTGTCTACTGATGCTAGCAAACACTTGTAGATCCCCATAGAGGGATAGGGCAGGAGGTTCTCTTGTTTTGTTGAGTTTGCTGATCTCAGGAAGGGTAGAGGGGATGGGAACTCTGGAGAGGTTGGTGGAAAAGGAGAAAACATAGCCACTTCACATTGGGAAAACAATAAATACTCACAGAGTTCCTTATTTTTAGGGAACTGGGCTAGGTTACTTTGATATGTTATTGTGTTTACTCAAAGTAATTCTAAGATAAACACTTTTTTGTGTGTATAGTGTTACTGGGGTTTGAACTCAGTGCCTTGCACTTACTAGGTGAGTGCTCTACTTCTTGAGCCATACCTCCAGTCATTTTTGCTTTAGGTAATTTTTCTGATAGGGTCTAACTCTTTTTGTCTTGGCCAGCATTGGACTGCAATATTCCTACCTATGCCTCCTGAGCAGCTGGGATTACAGTGTGAGAAACCATGCTCAACTTGTTTGTTGAGATGGAGTCTTGCTAACATTTTGTCTGAGCTGGCTTCAAGCTGTCATTCTTTCCATTTCTACTTCCTGAGTAGCTGGGATTGTAGGTGTGAGCCACTCTGCTTGGCAATATAAGCACTTTTATTATCATTATACACATGATAAAATTGAGACTGAAGGAATGTGTTACTACTAACAGTAGAGCTAGGATTTGAACCCATGACCAGTGGTAGACTTCTTTCTTTGTTTTGTTTTCTTGAGACAGGATCTCACTATCTCATTATCAACTGGCCTTGAACTTGTGATCCTCCTTCCTCAGTCTCCTGAGTGCTGGGATTATAAGCCTGCACCATGACACCCTGCTCAAATTCTTACTTTAAAATAGAATATAGGAATATGCTGGTCTGTAGCTTTACCCCCTTGTTTAACCTTGTGGAAAGCTGAAGACAGTAATTGAAGGTGACAACTTTAAGGCTAGAAACCGAGGAAGAGGGGTGATGGCAATGATGTTGTGTCACTGTGTTCTCAGGGAAGCCAGAGGGCCAGATCCAGAGATGACATCCAGAGATGTCAGGGGGCAGACATGCTTCTACCCCAGCTGGAGGACAGACCTGGTAGTAACGTTGCCTCCCAAAGGGTTGAGGCAAGGAACCTGAGCGAGTTCATGTTCACAGCCATCCCCGCTTCCTTGCTGCCCATTGCTTGTCATACTGGAACCAGGCCAAGGTCCCAGCATGCTCTGTGGGCTGCTTCCACTTCTCATGTGGGATAACACTTTCTCTTGTGCTGCTTAGAAGGATCTGCATGTGGAAAATGAGCTTCATTCACTTTTGTTTCTGCCTGTGTTCAGCTCGCTGCAGTACAGCCAGTGGCAGTTAATATTTCTGCAAATGGTTTTGGATTTGCAATTTGTCAGGTATGAGATAATGCTTACTTTTTTCAGTTAATAATTGTTTTGGGCCATTGCTAAATTTTCAACTTAGATAACTTGTATAAAATTCTTAATTGCTTACATTTATGACTTAGGCAAGATTCATTATTCTCTTTAATAAAAAATGTTAAAAATGTTATCAGCTAATAAGTAGACAGCAGTTGTATGTGCTCCACTGAGAAATATTTCTTGCCATTTGTTTGGCTTTTGAAGGGAGGACTCCAATCCTCCAATACGATTCATGCTGATACTTGGAAACTCACACACCGTGTGTGTGTGTGTGTGTGTGTGTGTGTGTGTGTGTGTGTATGAAATAGTTAAAGAATTGTAATGCTGGTAGAGTTTGTACTATGACCTGATAAACAAATACACGTTTTTCATAAAGATTATTTGTTTTTGGAGCAAGTGTCTTACTATGTATCCCAAGCTGGCCTGGAACTCACGATCCTCCTGCCTCAGCCTCCTGAGTGTTGGGATTACATTCATGTACCACTATGCCCAGTTTGTTTACAAATTCTAATATTCATTTAAGAATATAAAGTTCACCATGATATCACAGGTTATTGTCTTAAAGATAGGAAATGTGTTTCTTTAATGTAAAACCTTACAAAATACCACATGTAACAATTACAGCATCATTCTGTTCAATGCTGTGGTATGGAAAGAAAATCCAAAGAAGCCTCCTTTTTTTCTAATGTACAGTAGAAGCTACAAAAAATGGAAATAGTACAAAAATAATGACTGGAATCATCATTACACTAAATGTACAAACATTATGAAGACTTTAAAATCAACTTCTTGGAAACCTAAAATAATATGTAATAGGACCAAAATGATGTGCTTGGGTAAAAACAAGTAAGCCGAACAAAACCTGAAATGCTTACTGAGTGATTAATAAAATGCTTTTTTAGAGAAAAATCAGTCCAGTTGTTCTTTTAGGTACACTGCTACTAAGACCTTCCTAAGCAGGTATAATTTGGAAACTTGGAAATAATTCTAAGATTATTTTGCATGCTGTTGAAGATATTGCAATGTTTTTTAAAAATCAAGGAAAATGATCATAATAAAAAGTAATGACATTCAACAAAAAGACAGAAGAGAGTGAATAATTTATATTGGTGTTTACTAAAAAGGCCATGGGAAAATTCCAGTTCTCATCCTGACTTTTTTTCGCGGTCCTGGGCTTTGAACTCAGGAGGTTACATTTAAGCCATGCCCTCAGCTGCCAGGATAGCAGAGGTCCTTGACCTGAAAGGGCTCAGGGAAGGAATGAACAGACAAGACACATGTCCAGAGGGCCAGAAGGCTGATGACCAACTGGCAAATTTTTAATTTTTCTCAGCAAGCTTTAAACAAAAGAGGAAGAAACTTGAACATCAAAAAGACTCCGACCTAGTTAGGACCTTTCTGTTTTGGCCACCCTGCATTCTTACTGCCAGTGTCCTTGACTAAGTATAAATTTCTTTTTAATAAAGGGAAACCGTTTAGCATTCCTTTCCACCGTGATAGAGACACGGTGCACCTGCAGATTCCTACCTTGTTGGAATGCTGCTAGGTTGCAATGACCTTGTCAGATTGAGGCTCATGGCTCCCAACACTCAGCCCTGTTTGCTTTAGTTTATTTTTCAAGTAGGGTTTTGCCTTTTTGCCTGGGGCCAGCCTTGGATTGTGATCTTCCTACCTCGGCTCCTGTGTAAGTGAGATAATAGGCATGTACCTGGCTTGATCTTTAAGAAGGGTCTTGCTAACTCTTTTGCTTGGATCCTCCCATCTCTGCTTCTCATGTAGCTGGGATTACAGGAGTGTACCACTACCCCTAGCCCCTCAAACTGTTTTCAATGCAAAGAGTAGATCTAAAAGTAAATATTTGGTATATTTTAGATAAAATTAATAATTTTTTATACCTAAATCATCAAGTTTGTTGGAATTCATTTGTGATAAACCAAATATAGCTACATCACTGAAACCAAGTGATTGTTGCTTGAGGTTTGAGGGATGCAGTGGTGTATGTGGTATCTACTGGTCAGAATGTTCTCTAGTCCCAGCCTATGTCAAACTGCAGAAAACAAAGGAGAGGGACCAATGGCATTTTTCATGATGGAGGAAAAAACTGCAAAAAATATTGGCCACTGGTATTGATATTTTCATGATATTTTATAAGTGCTCTGGAAAAAAGGAGAGCAAATAAAACTCTCAGGTTTGCAGTAAATGTTAGCTTCTTTTGGTTAATAAAATGCTAAACTGTAGGAAATATTCTGCAAAGTCTTTTGAAGTTCTCTGAGAAGTTGAGCCTTATTGTGGGCCAAATATGAACCCCAATACTTAGTTTTAAATGGGAGTTAATTGTGACTCAAGGTGTGAATCTATAGCCCTTGTTTGATGACATTGATTGCTAGAGGGACAGTAGCATGCCACTGGAAAGGGGTGATGACAATAACAGAGACCATCCCTCTGATTTTATAAAGCCATTGTCCTATTGCTCCAGGAATCATTTTAATTTTTATTTAAATTAATAATTAGTTGTGGTTTAAGAACAATTTGGAGAATGTGCAGAGTAAGATAACCAGAATGATCAAGGGGATGAAGGATTATGTGAACTCTTAAAAGTGAAGACTTAGCAAGAGGATTTAAAAAAATATGTAAATCCAGGAAGGATACTAGATGTTTACTTCTGAAGGGTGTATATGTTCCAAGTAGAAGTAAAGGAAAATACAGTGTTATATAGCAGTATTTAGTTTCATGAACCTTGGTTTCAAAATGAGAGGATGAGGAAAAACATTTAAATAGATTCCATTTCATCTTGGGATGAGGCTGACCTAGCACATTTTGAGTACTTTCCTAAGCTTCTCATTTAGGATCTCTTTGAGAAAGACACTGGTTCTCATGCTACCCCAGTGTTCCCATACCACCGTTGACATCAGTGTAGGCCCAGAGTGTACATAGCTAGAAAGAGCCAGCTGACTTGAAATCCATAATTATTTCATTATCTTTGAAAAACGTATGATGGAAGAGAATCCTCAGTAGAGGAGCAGGTGATGTTTTAGTTTTGACATATCTCATTGAGAGTTTATAGAGTTCCAACTGTGGAAATCAACTCCATTTGTGTGCACAGCTAAAAGTGAGTGAAAGCTTTGAAGGAAGTTGGCAGTCACTTGTTCTTCCTTCCAGGGAGTGTTCCACATGCCTTCATCCATGGTGTTCTATGATACTTTGGAATGTTACCTAATAATTTCTCAATTTAAGATAATTTAAAATAATGTTTTATGACAGTGTCAGTTAATAATGTAACTTGTCAGTAGACCACGTTTCTCGCCTTTGAAGAATACAAATCTGGTTGGATTTATCACAAAAAGGAATTACCCATTGCCTAATATTTAGAATGCACAATGATGGCAATTTATTGCGCATTTATTACTTATGCTAATTTTTAAATTTATTGCAGCTCAATGTGATTTATAATGTGAAAGATTCAGGGTCTTTTAGAAGACGGAGAGATATTCAAAATCAAGAAGCTTTTGATTTAGATGTCAGTGTAAAAGATAGCAAAGATGATATCAATCATGTGAATTTGAATGTGTGCACAAGGTAGGTATCTGTTTATATCTCTTCTTTCCATCCTTTTTATTTCTTTAAATAGATTTGAAGGTTTACTTATGTATAGTTATCGAGCTAGATCAATGTGAGTCATGTTAATAAAGAATTCAGTTTTATTCTTCAGATTATAGGCTACAAATAATAATTATATCTGAGTATTTCTTAGACATGTCCAAAATTATTTATAAGTTTTCCTTGAATTTATAATAAATTTGGATAGAAAAATAAAAACTAATAAAAATCAAATCTAACTTAGGAAAACTTTAAATTAACAACCATGTTTAAAAATCCAAAATGGTTATTCTTTCTTTTCTTTCCTTTTTTTTTTGGCTACTCTGGGGTTTGAACTCAGGCCCTCACGCTTGGTAAGCATGTACTCTAACCATTTGAGTCACTCCACCAGCCCAAAATGGTTATTTTTTTATTGTGAGTTATTTTTCTATTGGAATAGTTTCATTTCAGGTCATATTTTAACTTTCATTATTGTTATTTTGAATTGCTGGTGTTGAACTCAGGGCCTCATACTTGCTAGGCAGGTGCTCTCTCACTTGAGCCACACCTCCAGCTAACCTTAACTTTTATCCTACTGACCCAAAACTTCATAAGGTCATGCAAATCCAATGAAAAGAATAGTTATTTTGGATACATTTAAAATACCTCAGTTTAGGAGATTTCCATCTTGGATAGTTATGCTTTGGTAATGGAAGATTCTCGAAGCAATTCTTAAATAGGTCTGTATATCCAAGGCATCTGAGGATCTTGTTAAAGAAGAGATTTTCCACCTCAGTTCTGCTGACTTCAAATAGGGTTGTGAAGCTGCCCTCTTCGGCTTCTTGGTTATTCTGGAACAAACACAAGTTTGAGAACAACCCTTGGAGAAAGTTCTTGAATCAAGTGGCTTTGCAGTTTCTTTTCTGTCAGTCTATCCTCTGACAGCCGCATTACTTGGTGTTGAGCTAGATGTTACTATAAGGATGCTCTAGCATTGAGGAGCTGCTATCTGTTCTTTCCAAACATCCTGTAGCACTGTGGTTAAACTTAGCTTGTTGTGGGGCTGGAAGTCACTGATGTGGTCCTGACCTACACATGTTCCTCAAAGTCATCCAGGTGGTCACGTTTCTTAGCCATTGCCTAAATCCAGCCTCCTCCCTTACTACTGTCATCTACACTGTCTTTGGACCTTCTTGGCCATGATTGTGCTACTATTGTACTATTATTATCCCTTCTTTTCTTTTTCACTTGTTCATTCATCAAGTACATTTGTTTGCCTCATTTCTCACCTTCTTGAGCATTCTGGACCCCAGCAGGGGTGTCAGTAACAGCGTGTCTGCAGTAGCTTCCTTTTCAGCTGACAAGAAAATATACCTTCTGTTATTCTTTACTAAGCTTGCAATTGGTCTGTATTCCAGAACAACATCAAGTTGTTATTACCATCAACAACAACCTACATTTATCATAAACTTCACCTCCTAGCATTGTAAAAATCACTTTTACATATATTTCATTTAGGCTTTACAATAGCTGTGTACAGTAAGTACTATTAGTATCTCTTTTCTTTTGCATTTGTTCATTCATTCATGTATTTATTCAGTATATATTATTGAGACTGCTGTGTGCCAGCACAGTGTCAGGTGTAGGGATGTAATGGTGAGCAAAAAAAAGACACCACCACTACCTTTGTGGAATTTATTGTCTGGAGGAGGGAAACAGAAATTAATACCCAAAATCATGCTTGCTTCAGCAGTACATACGCTAAAATTGGAATGATATAGAGAAGATTAGCATGGCCCCTGAGCAAGGATGACATGCAAATTCATGAAGCATTCCATATTATTTAAAAAAAAAAAACAAACCCAAATCTTTTTCATTAAGTCAAAAATCCTGCTTTTGAAAAAATCAGTGAGCTTCATGGAACTGTGGGAGGGAGATTTTTATTTCTCAGGGAGCTCAAGTAAAGAAATTGGTGAGGAAAATGAGGAAGAACCAGCATTCAGAACATGGAGAGGCATTGTTATTTATATAGGGCTCATGTAAGGATTCTAAATCTTTATTTAGCCTCAGGAATCACAAGTGGGCAACAGACTCTGGCTGGTAGATAGAACCAGAAGAAGGGAAATGTCGTCAGGTGAAGGTAGGGCTTTAGAAGAAGGTTTTAACTGTTAGTACTAGTTTTCTGAGAAAAATATGCTATCAAACACAAATAGCCTTTAAGTGGGTGTTTCAGTGGCTCTTTATAAAAAGACTGTCTGGTATTTTAGGCACTTTATTTCCATCAATGGGGCCAAGACTTGACCTCAGATGAGGTTTTCTGTGTGGCATTGCAATTTCACCAATTCTGCCTCTGGCAGGAAGAAAGACTACTTGTTCATGTTCCTTTGCTCAACCAAGGTACTTTGATGATATACTGAAGGTACAATCTGCAATATATTTTAAGTATTTAAGTAGATTAGCTTTTTTCCCCCTTGATCTGTAATTTTTGCTCATGTATAAATCCCTCTGGTTTTCATCCAGCTATTATTTTTCAATAGCATCTATTTTGGCCAAGGGTGTCCCTCAGCAGATAGATTCAATCGCTTTGGGGTGCTGAGCCAGCTGAAGTCAGCAGTTGTACTGTATGGCTTTTCTGTCAGTCATGTTTGGCAAGTGTCTGTTTACTGCTCTAAAAGCAAGATTTCCTAACAGCTCTTTTGGCTTTTGCCTTCTAAAAGGAAGTCACTTAACAATAACACAGTCCTTTCATGTGGGAGGCAAACTTCTTTTCCATAAGCACACTATTTCTGCTCCAAATGAAAAGCTTTTGTCATCTATTTGTGTTAGAAAAACATTTGTATTCAAGAAGACAATGTTGGTGCCCAGATGCTTTGATGTTCACATTGTGTACAATGGGGTGAGGGAAGGATCCAGTACAGTCAAACTTTCTTTTTAAAAATCTTCTTACCTAAAACTAATTTTGAGGGTTTCCAGAGAGCCCTAGAGGATCTCAGAAGAATTTATTCCTTATAAAATAGAGGTATTAACCTAATCATGCTTACTTGAGCTATTTAATCTTTCTATTATTTTTTATTAGTATGAGGGGTGTCATTGTGATGATGCCATAGATGTGAATGCCAACAGTGTATTTTGAGCAAGTTCACTCCCTTTATCATATTCCCTTAATCCTTGCACCCCATTTTTCAAACAGCATTTGGTGGGTATTATGCTATCATCATACATATATACTGTACATATGCCATATATGTACTTTGATGATATTATGCTATCATCATACATATATACTGTACATATGCCATATATGTACTTTGATGATATTATGCTATCATCATACATATATACTGTACATATGCCATATATGTACTTTGATTGTCACACCCCACCACCTTCTCCTTTTCCCCCTCCCCACTCCTGCTGATCCCCAGCACAGATAATCCCACTTTTATATTCAAGTCCTGTCATCATCAGCATCATTTTAGGTCTAGATTCCATATACGATCAAAAGCATGCAGTATTTCACTTTTTTGGTCAAGGTTTACTTTTTGGTTATAACAGTGTGTGTACACTGGGTTTCACTGTAAAATGTACTTCCTGTTATGGAATGCAGTGAAACTTTATTGCAGTACTGGGGTTTGAACTGTGGGCCATGTGCTTGCTAGGCAGGTGCTCTACCACCTGAGCCATGACCTCAGCACTTTTTGTTTCAGTTACTTTTTGGGTACGGTCTTGTGCTTTTGCCCAGGGCTGGCCGTGGACTGTGTTCTTCCTGATTTCACCTCCAGTGTGTTTAGGATTACAGAGATGTTCTACCACTCCGAGCCATGGTGAAAACTTTTGAAAAACACTGGCCTAGGCCAATCAGGGGGTTTTTATGTGCCCATTCCCAGCCCCACTTGTAGCAAGAATGGCCTTGGTACGTACTTTTAGCCAGTGTGACCAATGCTGGAAATGAGAGGGGTCTGGAAAGCGTTTTGTCTTTCTGATTAAAGGGCAGACATGGCTGGCATAGCACCTGCTTTCTTCCTGTTTATTTTTTTTTTATTGTTGTGCTGGGGGAATATTTTGACATTTACAAAAGTTCTTACAATATATCATAGTTGAATTCACCCCCTCTGTCATTCTCCTTTATCCCTGCTCCCTCCATTCCTGGAATAGTTTCAACAGGTCTCTTTTGTTTTCATACATGAGTGAGCTTGGTTTATTTTGCTCAACATAATGATCTCCAGTTTCATTCATTTTCCTGCAAATGACATAATTCTTTATGGCTGAATAATACTCCCATTGTTTACATATACCACATTTTATTTATCTACATATTTGTTGTTGGGCACCTATGCTGATTCCACAGCTTGGCTGTTGTGAACAGTGTTTCTATCAACATGGCTATGAAGGTATCTCTCTTGTTTAATTTATACTCCTTCAGACATATGCCCAAGACTGGTATTACAGGGTCACAAAGAGGTCTAATTTTGATATTTTGAGGGACTTCCATACTTATTGCAATGCTGGTTTCATTAGTTTACATCACCACCAACATTGTATGAGGGTTCCTTTTCTTCGACATCCACTCCAGCGTTTGTTGTTGTTTGCTTTCTTGAATACCATTCTGACTGGAATGAGATGGAATTACAGTGTAGTAATCTTATTTTTCTTTTCATATAACCAACTTCTCCCCCCATTGTTTTTTTGTATTTTTTTATGTATCCAGTTCATTAACTTCTGCCCTACTCTTTATTATTTCTTTCTACCTGCTAATTTTGGTTTTGGCTTGTTTTTGTTTTTCTTGGAGTTTGAAGTATATAATTAAACTATTCAGTTAAGATCTCTCTTTCTCTCTGTCTTTGTCCTTTACTCTCTTTTGATGTAGGTGCTCGTAGCTATCAACTTTCCTGTTAGAACTTCCTTATTGAATCCCAGAGGTTCTTGTAAATTGTGCTGTTGTTTTCATTACATTTTGACTTCTCCCCTTATTTCTTTGATGAACCACTGGTACTTCAGCA